CACCTATCTGACACGGAAGGATGAAGATATAAATTCCTAACTTCCATAAGGGCCTTATTAATATGCGCAGGGAAGTTTGTGTGCAACGATTGAATATCCAACCGGCCATTAGCAATCATCTGACGACAAGATTTGTCGGAGTCCGAAATATGCACATAGTCGACAAGAAATTTGATGGATTTACCTTGGAGATAGATTCACTCCCAGAAGTTGGTCTCCCCATTACCTAGCCTGAAGGTGAAACCAGTCGCAATGATAGAGAAACATCTCCTCAAGGCAGTCCAGACATAAGAAGATTGTGTCTTGGGCCTATTGATCCCCTCATATCCCCTGCCGAATCGACCCGACAAAGCGTCAACCCAAAGCGCTGAAGTGCCGTCGATATATTCGCTAACTTTTTTCCCAACATTGCTATGTTCATCTGTCGAGTTTTACGAATACCAAGTCCGCCCGAGCGGCGAGGCGTCGCCACAGTTTGCCAATTAACTAGATGTAAGCCCCGTCCCTCTCGGTCTTTCCAAATAAATCTCTTAATAATGCTATCAATTTGCTGGCAGGTTCTCTCCGGAAACCATGCTATTTTCATAAAGTATACCGGAATGGTGGAGAGTACCGATCGTGCTAGAGTAGTCCGGCCGCCTTGTTGAGGAATTTAGCACGCCACGGGGGCAGGCGCCGAGAGATGTGTTCAATAATGAATTCAAAGTGAGATAGCTTCCGTCTCCCAGCAATGATAGGGAAGCCCAAGTAATTCTCAAAAGACTCCGTCGAGGGAATGGATAACTGGTGACAAATCCGATTACGCTTTCTTTCTGGAGTCGCCGCTGAAAAAATGATTTGAGACTTGTTCAAGTTGATTGCCAGACCCGCTTCCTCCGTAAATGCTTTGAGAACTGTATTTACTGTTTGGACCGTGGCCACATTAGCTTGGGCCATAAGGATAACATCGTCCGCAAATAACAAATGGCTGAGAACTGGGCCACCCCTAGACAACACAATCGGATCCCAATTTCTCGCGCTGACCTCCCGATTGATGGTTCTAGTGAGTCTCTCCATTACGATAACGAACAAGTATGGGGAAAGTGGATCCCCTTGACGAAGACCCCGAGAAGGGTAGATGTCCACTGAAGGTCGGCCATTCCAAAGAATAGCAAAGTGAGCGGACGTCACACATTCCATGATGAGAGAAACCGAGAGTGTGTCCAATCCCATTTGAGTAAGCGAATCACGAAGAAATTTCCACCTCACCCGGTCGTAGGCCTTGTCTAAATCGATTTTAATAGCAAACTCACAACCCCGCTGGCGCTGCTTAAATTTGTAAAGGATCTCATGGAGAACAATAGCATTGTTTGCAGTTCCTCTACCGGGAAGAAACGCTGATTGCTCCGGACCTATGTAGTCTATCAGAATTGGTCTCAGACGATATAGAATCACCTTGGTTACAAACTTGTAGACGACGTTGCAAAGACTGATAGGCCTGTAGTCTTTAATAGTTAGCGGCGTGGCAATCTTTGGGATCAGGCAAAGGTATGAGAATCCGAGATTAGGCGTCAAACGCCCATTTGCGAAGAAAGTGCGGATAAAATCACATGTGTCCGGGCCAATGTGGTGCCAGTATTTTTTGAAAAAAATAGTAGGGAAGCCATCTGGACCCGGGGCTGAATAAGGAGGGCAAGAATCGATCGCCTGCGTGATTTCCATGTTAGAGACTGACTGTGAAACCGATATCTCTGTGTCGGGATCAGGGGGCGCAAGGGGTTCCGTGTATTCGCAGCCCGCGAGGGTGATGGAACTATCTGAAAACCGACTCTCAAAATGATCGATGGCATGCCCTCTGAGAATTGCATCTTCTGTAGTCCAGACATTGTTAATTTGGAGCCCGTGAATGGTCGACTTATTTTTGTGGATCTTGGCAGCTGTTTGGAAGAAGCGCGTATTACGATCCCCGTGTAATAGAATTTTTTCCCGGGATTTCTGGAACCAGATGAGTTCCTCCTGGTGAAGGATGGAGTTATATTCTGAAAGGAGCTGCCTCTCAAGAATTGCGAGCCGAGCCGAATCAACCCTGGTTTGGATGCGTTGGATTCCCAGCAATCTTCTTTGGATCTTGCGCTTTCGAGCCCCAATATTCCCAAAGCATGTCCGATTGAACGAAATGGAGGCTTCCCTGATGGAATTCATGTTGTGCAAGAAGTCTCCATTACCCAGACGCCACTTATCAGTAATAACCTTTAAATAATCGGGGTGGTCTGCCCAAGCCTCATGCCAACGGAAAGGCGGTTGGGGAAGTCCCTGGATGTTAGGTTTGCGATGGCAATGCAATATGAGAGGATTATGATCACTATTTCCTCTATTTAATGTCTCCACTGTCCCAAAAGGAAAATTGGCCAACCATTCTGTATCTGCTGCGGCATAGTCCAGGCATTTCTGAGAATATATATTAGCTCCCGTGGATGATCTTCGCCAAGTAAAAGGCGTGCCAATGCTTTGTATAACCGTCAAATCGCAATGTTGGAGGGCTTCATTAAGAACATCCGCACGATGTTGTGAGAAAGAGCATCCAGTGGATTGGGATGGGCCAGAAACCTCGTTCCAGTCACCTATGACGCACCATGACCCTACACAAGTCATTCGAGCCGCCTTCAGGTTGTCCCAGTCGCTGAGCCTTTCTCGAAAAGAGGGTGAGGCGTAGATCCCTGTAAGTGCCCAATTACAGCCACCTCGTCCGACATTAATAGATATAGTCCTGGTCGAGATGTGAAGAACCGAAACCGTGAATGAGTGTCCTCTTCTCTGGAGTAGCCAAATACCACCACTTCTACCCGTCGCTTCCGCTATAGCCACGCGGTCATACCCACTGTAATGTAACCAGACAGCATGCCTCTCAAAGAGGCATTGTGGTTCCATGACAAAACAGAAAGTCGGTCTGTGAAGAAACAGGAGGTCCTTCAACTGTCTCTGAGAGAACTTGTTGACTAAACCACGAACATTCCAAGATAATACACTGATATCGTTAAATACCTGCATACACCTATTATCAAGATTATTATCGTCCGCCAGAAATGAGCGGCTAGCTGAATTATTTGGCGTAGAACCCATAAATTTGATGATAAGGAAATTAAATCCGATCTCCCGTAATAACATCAGGTGGTCTGGAGTGGGCTTCCAGATCCTTCCCTTCGTTGGTATCTTCAACTTCCATACCCATGCCTCCGCTGGTGTCCCCCGCATTCGGATTTAGGCACTCGAATTTATTGGCAATTATAATCCCTTTGGAGGTTGAAGGGACATCTTGTGTCTGCTTAGGAATAAATCCCTTATCTATGCCTGTATGGCGACGTTTTTTTGCAGAGGCATGGGTCAATTCGGTTTCACCCGAAGGCACCTGGTGTGTTTGAGTGACCTTTCGAGAACTTCCCGGCACCTCCTTTTTAGAATGGTTAAAGGCAGCAGGTTTAACCTGTTTCTGAGGATTCGACTTCTCCTTATAAGGTTCCTTCGGAGTACCCATACGCGCAGAAGACGTCTCTCCCTTGCCCGCATTTTTGTTTGGTTTGCCACTCTTCCTTCGATGATTTACAAGCCATTCGCCATGTAATTCGACAGGGGAGTTCATGGCCGAATCAGTACTAATGGACTTGCCCTTATCGATTGAGGGCACCGGCCCCTCAGACCCTGTTGGCTTTACAAAGGAGCATGTGTTTCGGTTGTGGCCATATCGACCGCATAAGGGGCACAGTAAGTAGAGACCTTCATATTCCACCTTGTACCAAATTCCCTGAAATCCCACCTGGCCAACAACTGGTTGATTCAAATCAATCTGGACGCAAGCTCGAGCATACTTTCCCCTTTCAACATTCGAAGTATTCAGATCTATCCGGATTGGCGTGCCCACCATCGATGCCAAGCAAAACATTATGTTTTCGTCGAACATTGCGATACTTAACCCTGAGAACCGAATCCAAACCAAAGTGTGTTCAATCACATCATTGAAAGGATTAAACTGTGGAGT